GTACATATCACCACGTTACACCCCCTTCCTGCGGAATGACGCAAGTTAATTACTCAAGATTGCAAGAACGGGGGCAGGGGAAATGTGTGTCATGAAATGTGATTGGCCGATTTCCGAGTTCCAACAAAATCCAGATTTACTGTACATTTCTTGGAGCCCCTTCTCCTTCTCCTCCTCCTCCTCCTCCTCCTCCTTCTCCTCCTTCTTCTCCTTCTTCTTCATCTTTTTCTCCTTTTCCTCCTCTTCTTCTTTTCTCAGATCTTTTTTTGTCTTTCTTTATTATTCTTCTTCCTCCTCCTCCTCCTCCTCCTCCTCCTCCTCCTCTTCTTCTTTATTAGATCTTTTCTTCTTGCTTTATTCTTCTGTTTCCTCCTCTCCTTCTCATTTCTTAGATATTTTCTTATGATTATTTTCTTTCTCCTTCTCTTCCTCCTCATCCTATTCGTTTGCCATTTCACCCTTCTCTTCCTGCTCCTCCTCTTCTTCTTTCTTAGAACTTTTCTTCTAGCTTCATTCTTCTATTTCCTCCTCTTCTCATTTCTTAGATATTTTCTTCTTCTTTTTATTTCCCTTCTCCTACTTCTCCTTCTCATCCTTCTCATCCTATGCCATTTCCTCTTTCTCCTTCTCCTCTTCCTCCTTCTCTTCCTCCTTCTTCTCCTCTTCCTCCTTCTCTTCCTCCTTCTTCTTCCTCCGATAATGAAGTTTAGGGGGTAGTTCCCCTCAATGTGATGTCTTGCATGAGTTGGGTAGGAGTAGGACTGAGCCTAAAAATCAATCATAGCATTGGGATGCCCTGGTAGATACATGTACAGTGAATCTGAATGTATCATGTTAAACATGCGAAGTGTATTTGATTAAAATATTGCTCAGCTTTCATACATCTTATTGATTAGTCTGGCTGTCAGTCCGGTTGTTAATTTTTTTATAGATTTATTTTAATAATCAAAGGTTCATGTACTATTCTCATGTACATACAGAGCATTTAACTCAATATAAGAGGCTTTGACATACATATACTGTAGTGTACATGTACATGTACTGTTTAGTATGGCAGAATACCATAACCAAGAACAACTTTTTTTAAATTAAAAATTAAAATTAAATTAAAATAGAATGAAATTAATTTTATGATAATTACAGTTAATTACTAGTTCCAGATAAGATCCCCTCCCCCACACACTTTATAAAAGAAGAGTCGTCTGTTTTCAAATAGTGCAATTTAATGAAACTTTCAAATGTTTCCTAAACTATCTTAAATAGTATATTTGTGCTAATTTAAAACTTTTTTTCGTATAAAGTAAATGAACCTTTAAAGCACTTTACATTTACATGTACGTATGATACAGTGATGCAGAATATCTCCTGCATGTAGGTGTTATAGATAGTGAATATTAAATTCAGTGATATGATTGTAAAATATGATTCAACTATAGGAGCAAGATTTATAAAATATACATGTGTACCTGTACAACATTAACAGTTTTGTTAAGACAGACTTTTTTGTTACATCATTTTTTTATTTTTGTTGTTGTTGTTGGGGGGGGGGGGGGTAATGATCATGTACATATAGGCTATATGTCATATACTTGAAAAACTATTAAAGCCCCAAATTCTTATACATGTAGTTTGTATCTATTACGGTTGTTTCATCATTTCTTCTTCACTTGGCCAGATGTACATGTACATGTACATGTAATATACATTCAAACTCAGATTTGGCAAAAGCTACCGTTTTATTGATAAGCACTGTCAAACCGAAGCATCATGCACAGGACTACCGGTATACAAAAACACTGAATAGTACATGCAGGCACAATAGTCAGAAGGTCACGATACACTCAACTTTTGCTTGAAAAATCAATCACTCATTTTACACAGATGTGATAACTGCCCTCTTGAGCTCCAGATGTTATAGTTTTTAGCAGGGTGTCATTTTCATACTGTATGGACTCGTACCCTGTCGTCCTGTTAACATGTACATATATGCAAATTATACAAGACGTCATGATAATTTTTTCTTCTTTCGTACATGTATTTTTTTAATATAGTTTGGAATATGAGGTTCCCATCTCAGATTTATACATGTACATTGTATATACATGTACATGTACTTTCCATAGCTTAATCTGTCTTTGAACCTTTTTGTGGCAATTCTAGGGAGAAGCATATGACTTCATTATCTTTCTGTATGATCACTTGCAATACAAATGATTTACAAGATAATGAAACAAGATGATCGTTTGTGCAGTTTCATACAATTTTCGCCGTAATGATCTAACTGATTTTGACATATTTTGGTTTGGTGATTGCACAGGGCTTCTGCTTCTTAATATGTTAAATCACCATTTAAAGAGAAGGTTGAGTTGAAAAATAATTTGTGAACGTTATCATTGTATGCAAGTGTGGAAGAACATCAGTTCCCTGAAAAGCATGGCTCTTCAAATGCCTTCATATTCTAAGTATGACAAGTAACAGCTTAAAAAGTAGGCCCAATTTTTATGCCACATGTTTGTGTAGTCCCATATACACATTTTTTTGTGTACAGTGCTTGTTACTTTACCAATACTGGGCCAAATACCAATACTATGCTAGATGATCAACCTTTTTTGCTCGATTCCACACCGTTTCTATCACAATGCAATCGGATGACCAGAACTCAACTTTATCTTTAAAAGGGCCAAGGAGTGCCCACTTTTCAAAAGTGGGCACTCCAGTATGCGGCACTTTTTGGTGATCAAAGATTTTAATTTTTAGAGTGTACTACTGCACTACTAGTACTATTTACGATAATAATATTAATCATCATCATCACCATCACCATCATCATCACTAACATCACCATCATCATCATTATCCTCACCATCATCATTATCATCATCATGATGATCATCATCATCATCATCATCACCATCATCACCATCATCATCATCATCATCATCATCATCATCATCATCATCATCATCATCATCATAGTCGTCGTCATCACTATGAATATGGATTATGAATTCAAATTATTCAATGGACCTGACTGTACTAAATCATAATGGCAGGGTTATAGAGGTCATAATTTATAAAAGCATGCAGTCGGTAATATGACAAGTAAACACAAATTATCTTGCATCAGTGATTACATTGTACTATACATGTGCGACTGGAAATCAATGATCTCAGAGAAGGAGCATTGCTTGTTGGGATAAGTGCATGCTGCTTTCATTTTTCTGGATTTGAGGGATAAATAATGGGGAAGCCGTGAAGATGATTTTAGGGTAAATATTTGTAGAGGAATCATTCCTGGATGGGAGGTTGATGATGATGAGTCATCCCTGAAGGTGAACATGGAGCATCTGTAGAAGGAATAGTAGTCTGCAATCAGAGACTCTGTTTAGATAATAAACTATATTAAATTTGAGAGACAGTCAAGACTTGAGCCAGGCCTGACTACTGTACATGTATATCATATTTGACTAGTCTGTGTAGTTCAGACCTTGTGTTACTTGCATGCAAGCTAAGGGAATTGTGGGGAGAGAATGTTAAAAAAACACAGATTTCTTCCAGAAAATGAGCCGAGCAGGATATTACGAGATCTGAACTACATGTATCTCCGCTAAGACTACACTCGCTTGAGATTTGACATCTTGCCTAAATTGTCAAATTTGTGTAGGCTAGACTCAAGTCACTGAAGTTTGTTGTACATTGTAGGTGTCAAAGAGAGTCTGTATTCACAGACTAGACATGATGTTTTAGGATGAAGTCCAGGGTCAAAGATGGTGATGGATGTGAGATCGAGAGAGGAGAAGATGGAACATAGAGAATGTTCCTTAAAAAGACAGACACGTTAGCAAATTAACTGTTATCGCCAGAGACGTGATTTTAAGTCAACAAATTGCTCTATTAAAAAAAGAGATATCATTCATTAAAGCCAATTAGTAGATGTCCTGCGTGAAAAGTTACGCTACCAGTATATTGAACAGAGGCTTATGAAAGAAATTTAGGAGGCTAATTTGAAAGATATTTAGGTCTTTTTTTAGGAGGCTAATTTTTACGGTCAGGACTGTATTTACGATCACCATGGACATACTCCAGTCTTAAAGTGGCTTCTTTTTTAAATCAAGTTTCATGGATCTATGAAATTTACTCATATTATGAAACAAATGAACAAATGGTGCACATTTTCATCTGTTCATTATATGAGCTATCAGCTCTTGATGAGGCTGAGTGCACCTACATCAAACTCATCCAAATAGTTTCATACAGTATATGAACATGTACACACACCCATGTCATGTTGAAAGATTAGTATTTACATGTATATATACATGTATGTATTTATTATTATTATTTTTTTTTTAATTTCACTTTTTTATTCAGGGTAATCCTGTATTGATAAGCACCAAATAATATTTCCATTGTTTTTGAAATTGTCAAGATATTGCATTGATGATTTGAAATATGACATCATTTCATGAGCAATCATTTTTAATGGGACGTACTTGACATGTATCTAGGTCTACTCATATATCCTCCGCTTAGGAATAAAAAGAGAAGATAGTTATTAACTTGTATTTTTCCGTTCACCAGAACTCGGCCTTCTCTTTAACATTTCGATATGCACATAATATCGTAAATGTGTAAAAATATGAAATGATATAACACATTTTCTGTCTTACATATTTATTAAAATTCACAACATACTAACAAATTAGGTCATGAATTATGAGTTGAGAGAGAGAAAGAGAGAGAGGGAGAGAATGAGAATGATAGGCCTAGTATCTGTATTACTAATGAAAAGAACACTGCAATTAATGTGTAACTTGGCTAATTATCAGTGGTAAAGCATTTCAGAAGACAATGGTCTACAAAATCATAATGGAAGCAAAAACAATAGCTGGTCACCCCTCTGCAAATAATGGAATGACCTGGTATTCTTTTCACTGATTAGACCTATTGCCTGAGTGCTGAAATTTGTTGTCATTATCCACCGCACATTGTGTGTATTTTCCCTGGAGCGAACAGCTGTGTATGAGAGAGAGTGTGTGTGGACTAAGCATTATTCATCAGGGGGTTCGCATCTCTGCGAGTGAGTTGTTTAGCTCAGCCATCTGAAGGGCTGGTACAAAGAATATTCCTCCTGCTTACTTCATCTCTCTCTCTCCTCTATCTTCGGAAGAGGACTGCATCTAAAGCTGATACTACCGGGGTAAAGTCTGTGGGTAGAAAACGGTAGGTTCATAGTACGTGGAGGTGTGTGTTTGTGTGTGTTTCATATTTCATCAAGCCCAGCTAGCGTTGGTTAGCGGGCTTTTGCGTGTATGTTTTGGGAAGAGAGAGCAAGATATGTGGCATATTTGTGATGCTCTCCCCCGCAAGGCTTGACTGGCATGCCTTACTATACACTGCGAGCTAGCTGCCTCAACCAGGGTCATTTGCATGTCTACGCTTCAGCTACCAGCGAGCCAAGTGATGCATGCATTACAAACGCCAGTCACAGAAATCAGTTAAGACAAGGCTACATCTCTTGAAGGCTATTTAGGAACTACCCATGAAGCGCAGCCGCATCTTTCCTTGGAAATGCACGATATTCCTTTCGCTTCTTCCATCACAGCGTAGCAATCATCAAGCATTTTCTCCCTTGAATTGTCTTCGTGAATGGATTGGAATTGTGATGTGTAGTGAGCAAGCATCTTCTTGGAACGCATCTTTTTACAAGAACCGGTAGACAGACAGAGGATAATAACGGTGCACAAACTTGAGCTGGATGCTCTTTTGCCATCCATCATCGCATTATCAACTTCATCAACGGAGGTTTCCAATAGGAACCGTCTTTCCACCTCCGCATCTTATGAGTATGACCTCCCACAAGTTTTGTGATTATTAAAGCAGGACAGGCTAGCAGCTACGAATGGATGTAGGCTTCGCAGAACCATGTTTCTCCTGAGAGAGCTTTGTTGATCAGATAAGCGTGAAATTCTCCTCACCGTTGAGTTTCCAAACCTCTGACACTTTGGATTACTCATTTGTTCAGAAAAGCTAATATTCGGTGGAGAAAATATCTAGTGCTCAATAAAGACTTTAATGATGTTCATGCCGATGTCTCTTCAAATTGGAACATATTCATCCAAAGGATAATTATTACTGTGTAACATGGCTACGAAAGGATATCAGTTAAATTTTTAGTACAAAATTCTAATTATCTGAGCAATATATATTTTGTAAAGGTAGGTCAAACTGCATAATGGTTGTGTGATGGTGCATTAATGTTGTAATGTGTATTTTGTGTTAGAATTCTGTACAATATGTACAGGTAGGTGTATATTCATGCATATTGTTTGAAAAGATAAATGTAGGTACTTTACTGTACTGGCCTGTATGTAGTACATGTAGTCATTCAGTGTCCAGAGATTAATATTGATATTTGATAAACTGTGCTGAGTGCTAAGAACTGACAATGATATGATCTACATGTACATAAACTCACATAATTATTTTGCCTTATGGCTTGCTGCAGATGACGACATTTACTTATCATATATTGTTTGCTTTCACCATTTTGATAATATCAGCAAGCTAGGAATCTCACATGTAAACATGTACACAAATTAGTGAATCCAAAAAGCAGACTTATATCTAATTTCTACTTTCTTGTTAATTTGATGTATGGTGGTGTGACCATAGTTCGTGCATGACCTTAGGTCGCTATCTCAAAAGATTGGTAATATTTTGAAAATACGATACCAACAATGGAAAGAGAAAGCTAAAATTACCCAGAGACATTATTTTTCATAGAATCAATTGGTGTGAAATTATGAAAATTTTGACAAAGGATCTACTAATTTTGTGTCCGTTCCTAAAAAATATGAACTTACCGACAAGGGTCTGGGAATCTTTATTTTGAGAGCAGAATTAAGTTGTCAAAATTGTAAGTCAAAGATTGAACCATACGCAACTGACTGTATGATAGTTGCCTTGCAAAATATGCACTTATGTTATACATGTATTTGATTGATCGCTTTTTGTGATAAATCAGGTGTAAACTCTGTTGCAAGAATTAAGGTCTCGTTTGTTTAAATGACTTTTTCTTAAATCACAGCGATTCGATCTGACATCAAATTTTGAGATCGCGATATCTCCAAAATACTTTGACGATAAACATTTTCTATTTGCACCAATTTGTAATAAAAAACTTTGCTGTCCATTTGGTTACCGGTAATTTAACTAAATAAATTTATGTAGAATATGGGAAATCATGGATCCAATATCACTTTTCCTAATATTAAAAAAAAAACCTTAGGGAACTCTGGTCACCCAATCATAATATTGTTGAAATATGAATCGTGACTCCCAGCCTCCCAGATTGCCCTAGCTCTGCCGTCGTGGTGCCCTAATTTTCTCCTGATGCATTGTGACAGTCAATCATATTCACTCTGCACTGACATTGTGATAACACAATTAGCTGGATGAATAAGCCAATTATTTCCATCCACTGTAATTTATCTTTTTGTGGTAATGTGTTCTGAAGCAATACACAGTCCCATACAAACATAAACATGTGTGTACACTGTATATAATTTTTGTATTTATTACTATGCTCTGAATATATTCATAGACATTCTGTAGCTGATTTGCATATGTTTAATGATGCTTGGGTCATTAGAGGGAAGATTAATTTCATGAGAAGGCCATAAAATCTTCCAGTAGCTTTATCATCAATTTGACCTACAACGTGTACATGAACTGTATGCACAAGTATTATGGTTTTAAAAAGGAAATGAGTGTGAGAAAGTGTCTCAAAATACTTTTCTATTTTAGTTATTAAACATTGGGTGCCTTGCACAAGGGTACCAGCAAAATATCAGTTTAAAACATGAACATCTACACATTTCTTTGGCATAATTATCAACAACACTCCTCGCTATTAAAAACAATTTTTTTTTTCTTTTTTTCAAAGGGGTTACTTAATACATTGTAGGTTGATTTTTTTTTCTTTTTTTTTTGATGGGGGGGGGGGGGGGTGGGGGTCCAGACTCCAGAGTTCAATTTGTGTTTCATAAAACTTCATATCAATAACAAGTTACAGTATCTGTACTGTAATAAGCTACACTGTACTGGAAACCTGGTATTTGATTGGCTGAGATCAAATTTGTAATATGAGCTTATGAAACGGGGCTCAGACAGCCCCTATAAATGGTGAGCACTTGATAACAACATAAAATATGGGTCATAACAACAGCTCAATCATGTTCAGAATCAATAGCGATCAACATTCAATCCACAGTAGTCCAGTCCAGTACATACTTGGTGACAAGTTGGTGTACATGTACATGTACATGTACCCAACACATTTTCAGTGTCGATAATGTATTATGTAACAACATTAAACAGGGATTTGCTGGACAACATTAATCATTTTTTGAAATCAATACTTTCATATAATTAATTAGCATAATTTACAGTTATAAGCCATGCAAGAAGTCCAGTATGTCCACTGCACTATTAAAGGTGTTAGCTTGTTGGACTCTCCCTGTCCGTCACTGCCTGTAACTGACCGCTGAGCTGACAGCTCAATAACGTAATTAATGAACGAGTAACCTAATTAGTAATGTCCACACTCTCCCATCATTCAACTCATTGATCCTCATCCTCTAGGCTAGACCTGTTGTAGAGGTCAAGTGGATAAGTCACTGGACTGTGAACCACAATGTGCAGGGTCAAATCCCTGCCATAGCATTAATATCCTTTGGCAAGCATCAATATACATTTGCTGGACCATCTAGACTAGACCTGTTGTAGAGGTCAAGTGGATAAGTCACTGAACTGTGTGAACCGCAAGGTGCAGGGTTCAAATCCCTGCCATAGCATTAACGTCCTTTGGCAAGCATCAATATACATTCGCTGGACCCTCTAGACTAGACCTGTTGTAGAGGTCAAGTGAATAAGTCACTGGACTGTGAACCACAAGGTGCAGGGTCAAATCCCTGCCATAGCATTAATGTCCTTTGGCAAACTTCAATACACATTTGCTAGACCCTCTAGACTAGACCTGATGTACATGTATAGGTCAAGTGAATAAGTCACTGGACTGTGAACCACAAGGTGCAGGGTTCAAATCCCTGCCATAGCATTAACGTCCTTGGGCAAGCATCAATATACATTTGTCCCAGGTGTAGCAAGTGAGTACCTGGTAGGATTTATATTGTGAATGCCTGAGCCCTGGTGGTCATGTAGGTAAAGCTAGGGTAATACATGTTATATCCAAAGTCATTTGGAAAAGCAAAAAGATATGCGCTGTACAAGAACAGATTATAATTAGATACAGGCATGTTGTACTTTGATCGTTTTACAGGGATTTATTACTATCCCTTTTTCCCACTGTAGGCCTGCATGTGAAATCATTTTTAGATACAAGGAGATGAGTAATTCTTGTACTTTTAGTTAGGAATGACATTTTCTGCCTTCCTGTGCCCGCAACCCTTTTCCTTCACATCACATCTGTTTTAATCGAGACCTGATATGAAATACATGTACTGTGTGCACCGATAGATCCGTGTTAATTTTATCATTGTGTTATTTTCATCACTCTGTTAATTTGAGCATGACACAAGATTTATCTGGGCTTGATACAGTTACAAATACATGTAGGCCCAAGATTTGGATATAATTTGATCCCCCTAAATTTTCATTTTTTTTTTTATCAGGGGCCTTGTGCATACCAACCCTAAATATCAAGTCTGGACCCCATATGAGAGTATGTATTAAAGACCGAGTATGTATGGTACATGTAAATGTACCTGTATGGAACCTGGGTCCTAGCAAATGATGATAATACATTGTACAGGAAACTGACTAGAGTCCATGGGGGGAAAGGAACCTCAGACATTTCTGTTGACCCCAAAATTTGATCAATTTCACTGAGATATGATAGCAGGGCCCCCTTTGACCCCTAACAGTAACATGCCAGTCGGCTTGGAGCCATGGAATCCACATGTAGACATGGACACTAGTGTATTAAGGGCATAATTGGTGCACTTTTCAAGTGTGGATTGGAGAAGAAAAAAATGGGGGGAAAAATGGGGGGGGGGGGAATCAATTTTTTAACAGGGGCCTCATGTACATTGTACACAACCCCTCAAAATTCAATCCAGCCCCATGTAATATTAAAATAAAGTTAGTTTGGATTGTGACGCCACAGTATATTGATATTACATTGTACAGGAAATTAAGTAGGGTACATATTTACCAGTGTACTACATGTAGGTCATATAACCCCCTGATATGCACAGTGACCCTCAAATTTGATAACAATTTTTATTGAAATGATACTGATAGCTGGACCCCATTGGCTCCTTCTTGTCTGGATTTTAGGAAGTGACAAAAAAAAGCTCTTTCCATTTTTCAAAGGCATTACAAGAATGATAAATAAATACAGATAAGGTGAAACATGAAAAAGGTCAGATATTGTTTCTGACACGATAAAGAAGTGGACAAAGACTTGACCATTAAAGCCACTGTACAGTAAATACATGTTCTTGTGCTCTATTGTTTAACATGTAAATAAAATGCAATTCATCAATGCTTCATTTGTTTTGCTCTCGAAACAAGAGAGAAAGAGACAGCTGATAAAAGATTAAAAGCAAGCAATGATAAATGGTCCTGGTATCCTAGCGTTGTTTACGAATGCGTCACATGAAATCTATAGCAAAAGACTGGCCACCGACTGGCAAGCATGCTGGGCATATCACCCCCAGGAGTGGCGTTGAACTTGCCAAAAATATATCGGCTGGTCAAAATGACTGTTGTCATGTTCGGCATAGCTCAGCCATGCGTGTAGCTCAATGACTCAAACCAAGACCAGTCTAATGGAGTGACGCCATTGAACATGGTTTGGTTGGTTTTGTGGGAATCTACAGTAGTGGAATTGTGAAAAGTGGTCAGGAAATTATGGAAGCAGTGTAGAAATACTGTTTGTACCAGTTCTTAATTTCCTTGTTGCGACACTTATGTTTTTTAAAAACTTTTTAGTTTCCAGAGGTTAAAATAAGATTTAAAAAAAAAAAAAAAAATCATCATTTCTATAGCTTTATCGCTTTCAGATGATAAGTACTGAGGTCAGAACTACAAACTCTGAACTTGGAGCCCAGTATTGATTGTCAATTTCATTCGGGGGGGGGGGGGGGGATGGTGGGCAGAATGTGCAGAAACAGAGATGGAAAAATGGTCTTGAGAGCTCAGAAAAAGTTCATGAAATTTTAAATTGTGGGTCTCTGGGGGGGGGGGGGGGGGAGGGGATGTTGAACATGAGTGAATCTCACATTTATGTAAAATAAATGGATTGAAAAATTCACAAGCGTCCCTGGCGCCTGTTAGTGTGGAGCCATGCATATTATTAGAAACAGTTAATTCATGTTAATTCAATAATATTGTTTTATTGGTGGTTCTAGTCTCATGTTAATTTGTTGTGTTTGTGAAATATCTTTTTCTTCCTTGTAAATCTTCCCATCGCTCACCCTCACATTCTCTCTCTCTCTCTCTCTCTCTCTTGTCTGTTTTCCCATCTCCCCCATTTCTTCCTATAGTTTCCATCTATCTGCTTCGTCGTCGCCCCTATTTGTCTGCCCTTGAAATCTATGTTCTCAGACATCTGCAATGTGCATAAGTGTATTATATTTTCCCTTTTGCCCCCCTTCACATTCTCTGATACATGTGTTTCTGACACATGTTCCACGTGTAGTACTGTTAGATGTATTTGTAAATAGAAATACATTTATAGAACAAAGCATATAAATAGCCTACATGTTCATGATCTGTTTTTATTACTGCGGAGCAGAGTATAATATACTGGTAGTAAGTCATGCAGGTACTTGTGCGATGAAAGTATACTCAGTGTATTGCTTACATGTACCTGTAGGCCTCGTGTATAAAATCGTATCATATTTCTTTCCAAAGATGAATAGGCTATTGCACTTTTATATCTCTTTTAATTTACATATTATGTACGTACTGTATAGTCTGATAACTGACTTTTGCAAATGTCATAGACGTTTACGTGTACATATAGGGATTTGCGATATATAAAGAGTTGTAAACTACATGTAACTTTATTTATACAGATGTATTACCCTATTCAAAAAGCTTATATTACCTCAATAGAGTGGTGAAGTGTGACGTCATCAAAAATATATTTTTAGAATTTCTCAATTTTTTCTTCATATTCCAAAAGAGCACCAAAAATAATGTCCTAACCATTAGGAGCCAGAACATATAACACTCAGTTCCTATGGGGACTATATTTATTCAGATGGTCATATCTCAGCCAATACTTAACATATTCAATTGGTTTTCGACTTTTGGACATTATTTTTAATGTTCTTTTGGAAAATGAAGAAAAAATTGAGAAATTCTAAAAATAGATTTTTATGACGTCGCAGCTTCGGTACTCTATGGTATCAATCAACCCAATAAAGAGAAGGTTGAGTTCTGGGAAGAGGTGAAAAATAATTTGTGAGCATTAGTCATTCTTATTATGCAAGTGTGGAAGAACATCAGATAAGACATGTTTTCTGAAAAGCATGGCTCTTCAAATGCCTTCATATTCTTCTAAATATGCATGTAATATCGTAAAAATCGGGGGGGGGGGGGGGGGCCGGCTTTTTACGCCACGTGTTCGTGTAGTCCCATATACATCTTTCTGTGTACAGTGTTTGTAACTTTACCAAGACTTGGCCACATTTCTTATCATTTTGATGATTCCAGAACCTTGCAATACACACAAATTCTTATATGCTATATGATCAACCTTTTCTGGTCGGTTCCACACCGTTTCTTTCACAATGCAATCGCATGACCAGAACTCAACTTCATCTTTAATAGCAATCTATAGTTTGCCTAACAATCTACATCTATTAATCACACTAAGGAAATGATTATTCAAATTAATCAAGCTTTAATGGCATCATTATAATGTGATCATGTACAGTACGCACTAGCACCATGCATTACATTTCACAGTGTACATCCATGTACAACTGTACCTTGAAAACAGTATGGGGAAATTATCAACCCTTATTATGATTATGAAGAGGAAATATTGGGTCATGGAAAAGGAATTGAGTTGAGTGTGTATTTGTCCTGCCTTGCTTACAGCTAATTGTATTACATTAGCAGCGCAGGAGGGAGAGGATACAGTTATCTCTTGACAATGTTTTTAATTAGTTGGTCTGCCTTCAAGGCTTATGAGATAATACTGTAACATTCTAGATCAATACACTCATTTTCAATGGCACTGCAAAGGGAAGGGGGCATCTTTCCCAAATCAAATAGTGATGAGTGAGAGAGAGAGAGAAAGGGGGAGGGGGGATGAAAAATATGAAAGGGCCCCCACCCATCCTCCTGTGACATATATATGTTATTAAAGCAAAAAATGAAAAGTTGTATAAGTGATTTAGAGTCATGGAATGGCCAGTTTTTACTGGTCAGAAAATCGTTGTTTTTTCTCTTTATCTTTAATAGAGCCTAATGTATATACTTACCGGTAGTATAATCTATATTTATAATATAAGTGCTTCTCATATCCTTGGATCAAGGCTATACTTATTAATTATCTGGTGTAATGCATTCCACTTGCCATGGGTTCTAAATCTAGAGCCTTGATTGTTTGTGTAGTGATATGGATGGCATAATAATATCAGCCAAAGTGTGCACGGGCATCTCACATGAGCATGAGTATTTGGTGTGCATTTTTGTAATATGAAGACAGCAGACCACATCCTGATCGCACATTGATGTAGGCCTCCATCTTGGTGTTTGCATTGCTTTGTATGAAGTGACATAGAGAAATTTGATTATGATATTTGTGCTTGCTTTAAATTTGATTTAATAGCTATTACAAGAAACTGACAGCCCAAGGGCTGAACTGCATGGAGTTTAACAATTAAAATCACAAAATAAAAATTACAAACATGGAAATTACTTCCTTCATAATATGAGATGCCTACATATGTATGCACACTTTGGTTGGTATTATTATTATGCCATCCATATGTCATCCATATGCCATCTATATCGCTACACAAATGATCAAGAAGAAGCCAAGAACCTCTGCCTGCATTCCAAGATAATCATTATCCTTTGAGTGGAACATTACTGTGTAAAATGCCAAGGCCATTGTTATCAGACGTAAAATATCAAAATATGTATTCACGAATGTATTGTACATGTGTAGATATATATGTCTGCCCTCCTGATGACCATATGGCACTGATACTCTTCAGACAGTGATACATCTGCCTACCATTCCTATTTTAGAAGAACAATTCCTATTTTGGGGGTCTTCAAGTTACTGTATAAATGTACCCTAGGTTCCTCTCTTTTTCTGACATATTCTGTGTGAAATGTACAAAATAGACTCTTCTTTTGCTTGAGAGATTCCTCATTTTTGCAGTGAAAGGTTGGCAGGTATGCAGTAATATAACAGTTAATGTTTGAATAGTTAAAGCCCCACTGCACTACAAGTAGCTACTTGCGCCCTGTACATGTATATATAGCAATCCAAGCTTAATGGGCGACCATTAGCCCCTCCATGGTCCCCTTTTTCTAATAATTGAGAGCTTATTTGATGAGATAACCACCGGTCAGTGACCATGCAGGGAGGTCTAATCCCTCCTAGCCAACCAGTACAGATGGGCTTTAAGTTCTAGATTTTAGTCCAAGACTACATCTTAATGTTATCCCTGGTCCCATTGATCACCTACAGGTCTGACACGGGGGATACTCTAAGCGATACGTCTGGTGACATCACAGACATGGATGCAGAACCAGACAGTGATGTAGAGCAGGACTTGGACCAGATGCTGGGAACATGGCTCGGGGAACTGGAAACAATTACACAGGTTGGTAGATAGACAAGGGGTTCATATGCATAAAACCTTACCACGCCTGTAATAGAACAGTAGAACAATACTAACATATATTCAAATTTTATGCATAATTTTTAGACAAATGTTTTTCTTGACAACCCGATGGATTGCCCAACATAGCCCAACCTAGCAACAAATAATGTATGCACACTGGATTCCAAATATTGTAGTTCATTCTATGGAATACCTTGTCACTATGTCACCAGGAAACAAAAATCCATATATTTTAAAATGTTAGTAAACCAGCCAGCTATTGTTCATGTTTGTATGTGCCCTCTAATGCATAAAGTATTGAAATATTGAGGGTCTGGGCTTAGATTTAAGAAGTCCAGACATGTGTGAGTTAGTGAGAGGCTCAGGTGTATAGTGTATGATTAAGTCAATTAAAGGATGCATGCCTTATTCTTCTATTTATATTAATCTTTCAAGGTTATTATTTATAGTTATTTGAAAAAACAATCGTAGAATATGATGCAGTACATACGTAGAACTGATTTTGACATAGAGTATGTAGAACGTGTGTAGACATACATTTGTAAGTAAATGGCCTTCAAGATCCAGGAAAAGATTTGTTTCTGCAAACTATGTATGTGTACGTGACCATTCCACTTTCAGTTTCTGAGTGTATCTCATGTCTGATTCACTTTTCTATAGATTCAACATAGCATGATCGTTATTTCCTTGTTATATGAAATCTTATGATAGTTGTGAATGTGAAGCGCCCATCTGAATTGATTGATTACAAATGGATTCTTTTTTTATCTTTCACTTCAAATCCTGATATGTCAATCAACACTGATTTAAAAAATGTATCATACTTCTTTTTCTTTCTTCTTCTTCTTCTTTCTCTTCTTCTTCTTCTTCTTCTTCTTCTTCACCTTCCCCCTCTCCTCCACCTCTTCTTTTTCCTTTACCTTCTCTTTTATCTTCTCTTTCACCTTCTCCCCTTCATCATCTTCATCTTGTTCCACTTATTCCACTTCTTCCACTATTAGAGTTGGTATTTAGCATAATAATATAGTATTAATGACTGCTTTGAGAGAAATAGTTGTTTTTATACGCTCAAGGGAAGGTTAGAATTGTGCTATTGCCCGAGGCGTGCCGAGGGCAATAGCCCAATTGTAACCTAACCGAGAGCGTATAAAAACAACTATTTCTCGAATATTAAAGCAGTCATTAATACTTTTATATGCCAAAAAAATTATAACACCACCTTAGCCTTTCTCTAGTTTATCTGCACGGTTGTTTTTTATGAGTGTTTCTTTGAAAGTAGACTAGATCTAGATTATAGTCTAAGCAAGATATTTTTTACAATTTTAGGGGTGGGCCGGCCCTGCGGGGAATATGGAGAAAAACCTGCGCTTTCATATGACACGTCACTTATTGAGTATCACCTTCAGGATCACAAGCAATATTAGTTTGAATCTCTGGTAATTAAAACATCGAGTGCGCACTGGCCAATGGAAATGCATAGGGATGTGTGTAATCTCTACGGGAAGGATATGCATCTGTCCGTGACGTACAAATCAGTACAATCACCAGCATCTGGTTGTCGCGTACTAGAATCTAGATCTAGGCCTACTGAAAAAAAAATATGGAAGATTTCACATACCGTGTTCTTGCTGTCAGCATGTCTCAAATTTGATCCTCATCCAGAAGTTGAAATCTTGGGGGAGTTTCTACAGCCATTTTTGCCTTGTTTGAATCGAGATATATTGCCGTACTAAAAATGCCGACCAATTCTTCGCACACGTACGGTATCCTCGATCGCTCAAACCATTTTTTAACATGTAAACCTATGGGTAACCATGGTTACTGGGATTTTAGAACTATTTTTTAGAACTATTTTCCCGGTAACCATGGTAACTGGGATTTTAGAACTTTTTTTTGAACTATTACATGGGTTTGGAATTTTACCGGGAATTTTACAGGAATAGTTAAAGTTTATGAATGCAATTTCGACAAATCAGATGGCTGGATTTCTTAAGTGAGGTATATAAAACTGTTTATTCTATCAAACAGCATCTTATGATGGGTTTTAGACATTTCTGTCACACATAGGAATTGCTATACTTGCCAGGGATGAAATAACTTTTAAGTCTTTCATTTGTTTTCAACATCAGGAGCAATATAATATTTATAAACGTAACTCAAATAAATGTGAATGTAAGTTCTTTTGGGGGGCTGGGGGGGGGGGGGGGGGGGGCTATCAAAACTATATATTTCTGCATTAAAGTTCTTAAAGCTTAAACAGGTAAAATGTATAAATCCTAAACTAGTTCTTTCCTGTTTGGTAAAGTCTAGTAATAATAAAACTTATTTTCAACGTTCTTCTTCTTCTTTCAGTCAATTGATGCAGACATACATGTAGGTCAGCAGAGCCAACCAGCCCCTCTGCCTCCCCATCAGTCAACCCTTGGCTCATTAGACAACTTCAGCTTCTCAGCTTTCCAGCTAGCTCGTAAGTTTCTGTTCTTAATATATAGGCTTCCTTTTTTTCCATGGTTTTCCATGGTTTTTCGTGTTCTTCTGTTGATTTCTAATGAGTGAGCATATCAACTCTGTTTTTAATGTATATATACAGTGTATATTACTTTTCACCATGTATTTTTACCCTCTTCATAATCATGATTTCTGTAATCCTTAATTGATAACATGTATTTCATCTGTGCATGGTATCCGCTTTCAACATTGTATTTCTACACCTTTCATGTCCATCATTCTTAATTAATTAAAGGAATTTCAATTGTACTTGGAGCGTGCATTTAACAGTAAACCCCTTCAATCTTGACAGGTTTCATATCTTTTCAATTAGTAATTATGTCACATGGGATAATTCAATTTCCTACATACAGTGTCTTCTTTTTCTTTTTTCTTTTTTAATCTCCTTCATGTGAGATACATTTACATGTTCATGTAATCTTCTTCTTCTAATGTGCTTTCAATATGTTTTTCACTCCTGTACTTAATTGGGATCTGTAGTTTCTAATTTCAGTAGTTGAGAGATAATACACTCAGATTCAGTGTGAGTAGATGTATTTAACACTAGTTACTAATAATGTTTTATTTTCGTTGTCTTCAATTTTAATAATTTTAACACGCTGCAGACTCAACGTAGCTTTAGAGAATTGCCGGATTTACTGTTGATCAGAATCTTTCAGGATATGAAACTCAAAAATAATTTTGTTTTAAATTCACGAAACTTTTGTTTGTATTTCAATATTTCCGTATTGGATTAATTTTTTATTAATTTGTTGCTTGAAACTTTTGCAAATCTCAACCACTCTCTACTTCTCAAAAATTTATTTCATGCAAAAGGTTCTGGTGATACACAGTTAATTAGTTATAATATGTTGATGGTGGTAAGCTTTCAAGTAACTAAATTAAGTAGTGGTAGAACAGAGGTACATGTAAGATGCTTGCTTCCCATAGATAGATAATATTTTAAAGAATATATAAACATTTTTATAATCTAGATTCTAGAGTAAAGTATACTTTTTAATAGTGTGCATACAATGTAGTGTTTGTTTTGTTATACAGTTCAGCTTAAGTCTAAAATAAAAAATGATGAAGTATTTTCATTCCCCATTGGATGTTATTGTTCACGACCAAAACAATCAGTTTCAGATTCAAACAATTGCAAATTAATGTACTACAGACCATCGTAAAATGACAATCATGCATTTTCTTTGTTTTCTCTTCCATGACGAATACAAATCAATGCTTGGTCAAATGAAAAATCGCTTTAGAATAGTACTCCAACTCCCTTTGAGTCATAAAAATAATTGTCACATTCAGTTTCACGTCATAAAAGCTTAGACCCCGTTCTCACTCACTTCGTTGGAGCGCTCTGGAGCGCTCTAACTAAGACCCGCTCCTCAGGAGCAGTTCTTACGTGAGTGAGAACGCTCAAAGTGGTCCAGGAAGCGGACTTCTGGACCGCTCCAGAAGTCCACCTTCCGAAGTGGTCTTGAGGAGCGGGTCTTATTAAGAGCGCTCCAGAGCGCTCTAACGTGCAATGTGAACGGAAAGCGTACTTTGAACGGAAGTGAGCTAGTGACCTTCGGTGCGAAACATGTAGTACGGTACATACGGTTTGTATTCCGCCTACCTGAGCTGCCATAACAACAAGACCACTTTGACTCGTGGAGCGGTTTGAGCCATAAAAACTGCTCGGAGTGTGAACGCTCGCAAAGCGTTCCTCAAGACCCGTTCCTCTGGAGCAGTCTGGAGCGGTCTAACTAAGATCACTTTCAAAGTGAGTGAGAACGGGGTCTTAGTCTCTAGTCTCTACAGACTATAGGCAATAACAATAATTTTATAACTTCTTATTTGACAGTACCCTACTGCAGTACTCCTACGTTCTATTCTTTTCTGTGTTTTTTTCTGTTGGGGGGGGGGGGGGGGGGAACAGACAGTATACTGCTCTCTATGTACTTTTTGTTTTCAGGGACATATTTGATCTTGATCTAGGAGTATCTACTATCTACATGTACATGTTATAGAGACACCAAGGGAATTCTTCGATGCACATTTGTGGCTAAGAGGTTTTTGTGTTGTAAACATTTTAAAAAGAAAATCAAAGGAGCAATTAGGTTTCTTGTGGACTGTGTAATAAATGTAGTGCTTTATATAAAAGGGAGAAACATTTGCAGCATTCATTAGTTTAAGCACTTCATTTGTCTTGTTTATGACTCTTTTACAATAATACAATACATCACCCACAGACTCATTACCATGTCCTCTATATCATAATATTAAAAGGTATTGCAGATGTAGTACAGGTCTTGAATTTGTGTAAGAGGAGGTAAATTTAAACATGGCTTTGAACATTTTTAGCATCACCTTTTATCTTATTTGCTTGCACTCATCTTTAATCATATACAGTGTACTTGTAGCTGAGCTCATAGATGAAATCGTGATTGTGTGTCGATCTAAAATTTCATACAAACACAAACGCGTATAATCAAAGTCTTCGGATAGGACCCTTGCATAATGTTTCAACACTAGGGCACAACACCGCACTCCTGCTTTAGCAATCAGGAAAATACCACAGGTTGTCTTTTCCTCGTTTATCATGGTAGAGTTCAGAGTAGAGTTTCGATTGCCGATGTTCAGGAAATGACATCTCGGTGGGAAGGATATGTAGAACTCGTGTAGAATATACTTGACATACAAGGCTCTAGGGAATAGAATTTAATAGTTACATCATGTACACATAGGCCTACATGTTGTTGTACTGATCACTTAAATCACAGTAGATTGCTTGCTATCAGTAGTGAGAGATCTTTAGGCTGCATAGGCTGGTATTTGAACGTAATATGCGTCACTATTCCGTCACATAATTCTCTTTAAAATCTGTTATCATGCTGCTATTTTCTGGATACATTAAAAAGATTAGTATTCAATCACTAACTTTATACCTTTCAATGGCAGAGAGGTGCCATAAATTTCTTAATGATACAAGTAGATATAATTAACACTAATTAATTAACAATATACTAATGGCTGGATTAGACCTCTGTAGTGTTGTATTTAAAGAGAAGAAGGATTTTTCGATATTTTTTATTTTTTATTGTAACTTCCTTACATTTACAGTATATTCAACAACTTTGTCAACCTCAAGAATCGTTTCAGTTGTTACATTATATGAGCTATGTTTGAAGTCCTGAGTAAAATGTTTTAAACTGGTGGTTGACAAATAGAAAGATGCATGCTCTACATGTATGTACAAGTCAAGTGAAAGGTATTTTATTCTTGAACTGCTGAAACAACAGACTCTTGAGAGCAAATTTAAAAAGAAAGGTAATTTCCGTCCGTCTTTGGCACAGCCAACCATTTTTATTTTTACAGTCTGTTGAGACTGAAGATTTTCTGTTTTGTTTTGTTTTAGATGCCTGGCAAATAGGCTACTGGCAAACTTACAAGATAAAAATAAATATTTGGATTTCAGTGGGAGGAAAATTTCCTAATTTGAGCACTGTGTTAATAAATAGCTTTTGGCTCTGATATTTGTCTTTGATGTTTTGGTTGTGAACAGGAAATTTGTAATTTTCCTGGTGGAGAGGGTGTTAAATGGTCTCATCTGTAGCTTGTTTCATTGGGAAATTGGCAATTTTTTTTAAATCTTATCATATAAAGACCAACAATCATTAGCCAAGACCTACATCATTGGAGGGGTTGCAACCACAAACTCTAATATGATACTTTACCACAATTCCTAAACCCTTGAGTATAGCCTAGGTCTGCCCGTTTCTGGCTATGTCAGACAGCTAAAATACAAAGCGTATTGTAGTCTCATGCTGCAGACACTGTTATGCACAATGACTGACCAGGGTATGTGCCTGCCTGTAAACTGGGGTTGAGGTTGGAAAAGTCACTGTATTGTGGATATAACTGGTTCATGTTTGAAACCCAGTGGCATCAACCAAGACATCCGTCTGCATATGCCACCATTTACCCAGGTGTAGTAAACAGGGACTCAATCGATAAGAAGTCTAACTTGAATGCTCTTGTTGGATTGTAAAGCAGCCTCTGGTTCTCTTTTGCAAGCCTCTTAAGTGCCAAAATAATATATGCAAATTGTGTATGCTATTGTTATTTTACTTTCTATCTTGTAGATATTGTTTGGAAAAACTCAGGGTTCTGTTTTTGAACAGGTCTACATGTACATGTTTCCAGCAAGATATTTTTGCCATGTCCGTCAAATTTCCCAACAGATTTCACATCTGTTGTAAGACTAGAAAGAAATTTACTCTGTATTTGAAAATCGTTTTAATTATTCCTTTTGTCATATTATTTTGGCATTCAAATTCTTTGGAATAGAAAAGTTGTATTGTGATTTTCAGACAAGATTGGTCACACTATCCTCAACTGCTGTATTGAGTATGGATGAATACTACCTTTCTCCTCCTGTGTGCATTATCCCTGCAAAGCATGATGTATTCTGAAGGAGAAGGAGGAGGAGGAGGTATTAACAAATTGAGCAATTAGGCTCAGGATGGGGTAGACTATTACAAACGCTTTCCTGTTTCTCACCAACCCAACCGCACGGTTTAAGGGGATAGGTGTTGTGGTATTTCTTGTACGTCATAATCACTTCATTATTTTGTGAGCAACATGTTGGTTGCTACAGATGTGGTGTGATGTTGTTCAGTCCGTTGTGTAGATACATGTACATGCATACATTGTATCTATTTTTCTAATGCGTGGAACCTCCCCCTCAAAAAGATAAAAATATTAGCTTAAATGAAATACTAGAAAGGCAATGACACGTAAATATGTGTCACTTCCCAATTTTACCAATTACATATACACTACAAAATAAATGATCAACAAATGTATTTGAAATCCTAAAATATGTAAACATAAATGTACGCTCTTGCAAGTTAGTCTGATTAGTTTGAAATTTATTCTCATGAAAAGGTATTAGCAAGTGACATTGATGTTTGGTTAAACAGTTCTAGTGGCAAACTAGCAACCAGAACTTTGTTTC